AGAGAGAGAGAGGGAGAGACAGAGGGAGAGAGAGAAAGAGAGAGAGAGAGAGAGACAGAGGGAGAGAGGGAGAGACAGAGAGAGAGAGAGAGAGAGACAGAGGGAGAGAGGGAGAGACAGNGGGGGGGGGGAGAGAGAGGGGGGGCTGTGCAGACTGATGATGAGTGTCCCCTGACTGAAAACACACACTGCCTCTCTGGAGTTTGTCTGTACACACCTCAGATACCAGCAGAGGAGCTGCAGGGAGATTACTGCAATTCTCTCAAATTACCCTGCAACCCCATCATACACCCACACACATTTAAACCACACTGATCCAAACTATAATTCATCACCAATTTCCCCCAAACTTTCCCTCCCACTAATTGTGCTCAGCCTCACTTCCACATGGATGGAGCCATTCACCATCCGACAGACCACTGCTTGTCTGCAGGGCCCTGCGTGTGTTGGAGCTGCTTATGAAACACAAGCAGATGAGAGGGAGCGTCTGTCTGCCTGCTCCAAGGTAGATTATATCTGTCCATGCTTTCATGTACTTCAACACGATGCAACTCTTTAAACATATCGGCTTCAGATTTTAAGCTGCTTTCAGACATGCACAGAACTCCAGACATTTTCCAGAAAAGGGTTGTATGAGGGAAAGCAAATCAGTCCGAGTCAGTTACTCCGGATAGTCTCCAGAACTTTTCCTACTGGCCCCCAAGAAAAATGTCTTGAAAATTCAGTGAGCGAGTGGGCGTGTTGATGACGTTTCTATCACAAGGCGGACATGCAACCATGAGAATGTAATTATCTCATAATGAAAAAGAGGAGACGTAAAAGTACTGAAAGTCCGGAGATTCCCGGAGCTCCTCTGAGAGGTGTTTGTGTGAAAGCAAATTTCTCCAGAGAAAAGTAGGAGACACAGCAGGAGATCCTCTTCAGGATTCACTGTGAGCGAGCAGGGGGAGAAAGTCTGGACCCAGTAGTCTGAAAACGGCTAAAGTTGTCATTTTGGAAAGACAATGAGATTCAAGAGCGATGATAAGGGCCGTGTGTTGAAGGGCTGTAAACAAACACATGATATCCGCAGTAGCATTTACATGTCATGTCCTGCTTCCTGTACCCAAGCACCACCCCTCGCCTGAATGTTCTGGACATTTTCCTGTTGTGAATGTATCTGACCTCCTGCTGCATGGGCGTGCAAACTCTGGAAAACTTTCTGCATAATTGTCAGTGTTGTGTCTAAAAACAGATTATGTACGATCTCCTGTTGGAGGCGTCACTGAGTGATCGTCGCAGCGTAAAAGTAAAACACCAGCGTTTATCTCCGATAATCGTTTGGTGGATTGTTACAGCGGCTGCTCTTCTGGTTCAGGAAGCCGGGGATCATGGGTAATGTTCACCCTTCATTCGTGTTTCAGTTTCAGTGACTCAGTCAGAGCTCAAAACACATGGTTGGCTTCAATTTTTCTGGATATAAAAACCATGTAATTGCATGGACTTAGTAAAAGTTACATAGTGTTGCTTTAAAATTATGTATGTTTGCATTTCAGCAGTTTGGTTATGGTCCTTTTCAGTTTCAAGGCGACAACGCCTTCCTCGAAGAACAGTTCGGTGTGGAGGAACTTCCCCGGCCTGGATGAATCAGAAAATATAGAAATACAACTGTTTAACCTCTCCCTGCTGCAGACAGTGAGCCTCTTGTCTGTTCCTCTCTCCACTCGCTGCCTTCAGTTGCCCCTGGTGACATCTTGTCATGTGTGCTGTAAGGTCAGAGGCCATGTCTGTTATAATGTTCCCTCCCCAACCCCCTGTTTTCTCTCTTAGGCTCACACATGACCTCCTCACAGTGTGATGCAACATGTGCGTAACATAAGGTGATAAAACTCTGCTGGAGGTGCTGCTGTGTGCGGCAAACTAAAGAAAACGTGTTTTGGAAGTCACACGTCCAAACTCACAGTGTGGATTTCTGTTTTCAGCTTCAGTTGTTTCCTGCTGACCTCCCTCTCCTCCTTGTGATTCCACCCGTTTCCACTCTGTTGGTCTGGTCAGCCCTGCCTGCCTCTTCCGACCTCCTCCCCTGGGCGCTGTGATGACTCGTCCACCTTTATTTATACTGGAGAGACTGTTGACGGGCGTGTGTGCTTATCTTTGCCTCACGCCTAATATCATAACATCAGCAGGGCAATGAAAACCCTGTGAGGAGCCACTTTATCCATTCACGTCCATATTTTAACTCCTTTGTTTCTCATCCTGTAGTCGTCTAAACTGAATTGTGTAAATGATATATGATACAGAGCCTTTGCCATGAGGGCTTCTCTCACTTCTTAAGACACATCTTTATTAAAAAAGCTTTTATCATGTGATGTTTATTGCTTTTATTATCTGTATCTTTATTATTAGTAATTTCATTCAGATTGTTGTAAAGCACTTTGTTACTTGTACTGAATAGTGCCATACAAATAAAGTTATTATTATTTTTAAGTTTGAGTTTATTGTGAAAACAAGCTTTATCTGTTTCAGCCAAACTGTCTCGTTCTGTCAGCGTCCATCCTCAACACCTTCCTTGCTTTTGTAAATCTGACAAAACCCCAGGACGGTTGGATGTAACTTGAAGAAACTCACTGTACTCCCCCTGTTTTTCCGCTGGCAGAAAATATGCACTGAAGCTGGAAAGACGGGAAAGTTCACTGGCAGTTCACTTCTGGCTGATTTGCATAAGTTTGCATGTTCATGAACTTTGTGTCATTAATCATGGGAATAACTGACCTGCAAATCCTGTAGAATATGTGAGGCACGCGTGTTTCTGTGAGGGTGGATGCCTTTGTGTGTTGACCTGCATGTTGTTGTGTCAATCAGATGAAAATTACAGTTGGGACAGTTGGGATCAGTTATTACTTATTTATCGGGTAAAACATTTCTGGTGAGAGCTGAAATTTGGAGATTTCTGTTCAGATCATTGTTTTTTTTATGTCACCTATCGGCACAGTAAAGCAATTCTAACTTAAATTTTTCTTTTTCTTTTGTGTTTTACGTTTCAATTTATTGCTGTCACCTGGTTGCGTGACTCCTAAATTACTGTGTCCAGAGGAAATTACAATTTTTTTCAGTCTCTAGCTTTTTTGTATTATCATTTATATTTTCTACAGTTTCTTAAAGACATTTCCCTTATTACTGTCAGTAAAATTTTGATTTAAAGTGGAATATAAGTGCATCACTATTGGTTAGCCAGTCAATCTGTAAGCAGTCAGGACTGTGGACCAGGGCTGGGACTTGTCCTCTGCTTGTTCTGGGATCAAACAGAGAATCCGGAGGCCTGGACTGATGCTGGATGCAACTCAACTCAGACCTCATCGCCCCCATCTGGATATTCAGAGAACAACAGCAAGGACCCTGCTCCAGATGTTATATGACCAAAACAGGACGAAATTAAAACAGCCTCATTCTAAACATAATCAACTGAACACAAACAGAAAGTGAATTAAGTTTATGTTCAACCTTAGAAAAAGAGCCCTGCTTCATTATTTGTATCATTCTTGAGGTTCGTTCTATTCTATTCCTTCTGCTCCTGTGCAGCAGCGTAACTGTTCATTAGATCTTGTGAATAACATCAAGAATAAATGTGTTGTTTGACTGTGTTTCTACTATTGACACTATTGTGTGCATGATAAAAATAAGTCATCTTTGTTTTAGATGCTATGTGATGAGATCGTGCCTGTATAGTATTTTTTGCAGTTCACACGTCCAGTGAATGAATAGAATATAGTCTGGTGGTTTGTCAACTCAGTTGATCTCATCTGTATGAAAACTGACGACTGCATGAGATGAGATCTGCAATGAGTTTATTTGGCCTGAACCAAAATATGCTGGTCTGCCTGGCTTTGCGGCTGAGGGGGTCCACCACCTGAATAAACAGAATACGATACAGTAAGAAGAGGTCACTGCGTTCTCTGCACAGTTTGCAGGGAGGAGGACAATGTGAGGAACAATCTAAAAGGAAAGATGGGCAGGGAGTTTTTCTCATCATCTGTATATTCTGCACATGCCCACAAGCAAAGCAGTAAAGACCTGGCTTATATGGTGATATATCCTCCGGTAAACACATTGATTTAGCCAAGTATTACTTGAACATCTCTCATTAGCTGCTGCCTCTTATCTCTCAGGGGCCCAAGAGAAGAATTGAAATGGAGAGGAAGATTGCAGAGGTATGATTTAATAGGAGAAAACAGGAAGTAGTGGACAATGAGGAGCGAGACATGGGAGAAATGGGAACGTCCAGCAGGAAAATCAAGAGACAAATTTAGTTGCACACCCATGTTTCTTTGTTAACTATAACTGCAATTATAATATGTTTCAAGATGATGATGTTTCATATGTGCTTCTGCAAAACTCATGCAAAAACTATGGAACATAGAGCAGGAAGATTGAAGTGACTGAGGGGTCTGTGCTTTGGTAAATACATGTATGTGTTAAATGATTGTTTTATATGTAATAGTATATATATTTGTTTTTGTATGCATTAATCTTTGCACGTTCTTCTTTAAACCAACACGTACTGAACAGAAAACACAGGACTGGTCTCAGGTGTCTCCTTCAACTTCCCTGTTCCTCGTCTCCTCCTCTCACGCTATTGGAGGAAAGGAACCAAAGTCCCGCCCACTGGCAGCTCTCAACCAATGAACGACGTGAGAAAGTAAAGTCTGAATCGAAGAGAGGGCGGAAGGAGTATTGAGACTCACCCCTGGGCTGCGGTTTGACTTCACAACACCGTCAAGCTAAATGAAGCCACTGGTTAGAAATTCCAAAATAAAACGTCTAGTGCAAAACGCGTTGACATTTTCTTTTTATGTTTTCTCATTTTCTGAAATAAAAGTATCTAGAACATTGGATAAAATCCACCAAATGAAACTAAACGCAATTTGATTGGAGTTAGTCACCTTTGCGAGTTTTTTTTGTTGTTTTTTTTTAGCTTGTATTATGAAAGCAGCTTTCAGTCAGTTTCCGGTTCCGCTCGCTCTTCCCCTCGCTAGCTTGCCGCGGCTCGTTAGCAGCTGGTCGCCTCCACGGTTGCTAGAGACTCTCATCTCCAACACTGACGTGAAAACACTGACGTCCTCCCGTTAGCAACACAGCGTGTGGACGGGCTCTCCGGACGCTATGGTTACCGGCGCCCGTCTTCCGTCCCCGCGGCTCAGTACGCGGACAGTGCGCAGAGTCGTGGACGTGAAATGTGGCTGTTGTAGCGAAGCCAGCGTCTCTTTTGTTGCCCCGTGTTTCTACTACTGCTGTTAGCAAGAGAGAGAGGGAGAGAGAGAGAGAGAGAGGGGGGGGGGAGACTCCGGACACCCGAGGTGAGCAGCGAGACTCCGGAAGAGACGATGAGAGGAAAGAGACGATGAGAGGATCCCACGCAGAGAAAGTCAAGTTTTCAGACTTAACGTAACGATGTTTGGTGCAGCCGGTAAAATGTCTGTGGAGGCGAGTGACGTCCAGACTGATGAAGACTGCGAGGAGCTGGTGAGTCTTCAACAACTCATGGTTACTGATGGTTACTGATAGTTACTGGTGATAACTCATGGTTAATGATGCTAACTGATGCTAACTGGTGATAACTAATGGTTAATGATGCTAACTCATGGTAACTGGTGATTAATGATAGTTACTGGTGATAACTGATGGTAGCTGGTGGTTACTGATGATAACTAATGATAACTAATGGTAACTGATGCTAACTGGTGATTACTGATGAAAACTAATGGTTTCTGATGATAACTAATGCTAACTGATGGTAGCTGGTGGTTACTGATGATAACTAATGCTTAATGATGGTAACTGGTCATTACAGATGATAACTAATGGTAACTAATGGTTACTGATGGTAACTGATGATTAGTGATGATAGCCAATGGTAACTGATGGTAACTGGTGATTACTGATGATAACTAATGGTTACTGATGGTAACTGGTGATTACTGATGATAACTAATGGTAACTAATGGTTACTGATGGTAACTGATGATTACTGATGATAACTAATGGTTACTGATGGTAACGTATGGTTACTGATGGTAACTGGTGATTACTGATGATAACTAATGGTTAATGATGGTAACTGGTCATTACCGATGATAACTAATGATAACTAATGGTTACTGATGATAGCCAATGGTAACTGATGGTAACTGGTGATTACTGATGATAACTAATGGTTACTGATGGTAACTGTCAGCTGACGTTGTCTCCAGTTGTTTCCTGACTGTTTCCTTCATAAGTTTTAACATCGAGGCTCTTGAAAGTGTTTCGGGAGCAGCTCGGTCAAGTCCTTCTTTTTTAGTTGTTGATAATCGTTAATTATCACGATAATGTCATGTTAGTATTTCCTCTTAACTTTAAAGACTTTTTTCAGTCAAGGTTGTAGTTTTAATGACAAACACTTTCATGTTGTATTTATGACGTTTGTATGATTTTTTTGTTGTAACCCCATTCCCCAATGATAGAATAAATAAACTTGACTCACCTCTCTCCTCTGTTCAGGATGGCTTCGCATTCTCGGCTGATATTTTGGAAAAGGTAACCTGATCCACTCCGATTGTTGATGATGTCTCTTTCTCTTGTCTTTCTGTTGAGTTGATGTTTTGCCACCAATGCATAATATGTCATTCATAGAGATTCAGTTTATTGCACCTCTCTTCTGCTTCATCCCTCCTTTTTCTCCTCTACCAGATAAACAGCAGGAAAAGATCTTCTAGGAAGCCTCCTCCTTCTCCAAGTAAGACTCTGTTGAGACTTTAAACAAAAACTTTGACATGTCCACTTTCTAAATACCATGATTGTTAATGTACATGTAGAGTCTCCATACCTCTCCAGCCTGAATGTGAACCCCAGAAGAGTAGCAGTGGCAGCCTGGAGACTACCGAGGGCGTCCTTGGGGGACACCAGAGGGGAAGCTGCTGGGGACAGTGGCTCAGCTCGTCTCACATCCCTCAGCAACGGTCATGGTAGGCACTGTAAAAATAAGCTTAAACCATGAGGGATGGCTGGAGGAGAGAAAGAGAGAAAAGAGAAGTGAGAAGCAGTGTTTGTTCAACTGATAACTGATAGTTTGTTCATCCTTTTGGCTTGATCCTTCTGGACAACGACTCTAACATATCATCTTCTTATAAAGTGGTTAGAGCTTGTATGAAGGACTGCACCCTGGTGGTGGGTTTCTGTTATTTTAGGTAGTTCTTAGTAAACATTAGAAAACAATGTGGAGTAGATTGATAATGATATTTATAAATTATAAAACAAAAAGATGTTTGAAACACACGTACACACAGTAATGAAACTGTGCAGATGCATTAAGCCCTGTATTCTCTCCGTCTCGCTCTTTTTCAGATCTGTCTCCTACGCTGAGATCGATGTGTGACGTCACTCCAGAGCTTCTCAAACAGACCTTGAGCTCGAGGAAACACAAACATCTCCACTCTGCATCCAATGGTGAGACAATGTGTGGGAGTGTCAGTGGCAAAGTGCAGTTAGCTGAGGGTGGGAGACAGAAATTGACAGGGCCTCATCGCCACCAGCTGTTTCATAACTGCAAAGTGAAAATGTAAATGAAGTGCGACTGTGTTTAACAATGTACTTTCTCTTCATATTTGCCCGTATGTGCTGCAGGCTTCAGCACAGGTGAACACAAAGAGAAGGAGGACATGTACGATGAGATTATTCGCCTCAAGAAGGTAAGATTAATTAGCAGGGCACTGAATACCTGCCTGTTCCAGCGTGAGATTCTGTACCTGACTCAAACCTTTGTTACTCTGCAAAAAGGAAAGAGGGTTTAAAGTAACACTATGCAACTTTTACTGAGCAACAGCGCCCTCTGCAGCCACACATGGTGATTCTGCTGGACTCCATGTCTGAGTGAATAATTTAGCGCTGCTGCTGTAACAAATCCACCAAACTCTGTTTGGAATTCTTCACTTTACTGATAATTGCTTAAAATTTGCATTTGCACTTTTCAAAAGTTGACTTTAATCTTTAACGTCTTCTTAATCCCTTGTAATGTCTTCAGAGTCTCCAGGCGCAGAAGTCTGACAATCACCAAATGAAAGCAAAACTGCGCCGCCTGGAGGAAGATAACGCTAAAAGAGAGAAACAGATAGAAGAACTGTTGGATCCCACCAAAGTATGATAATTAAACTGCTTCTCATTTTTGTCACAGAAACTTTCAAAATGAATAAATACATTTACGAATGATCTCTCTCCACAGGGATCTGAGTATACTCGCAGTTTGGTGGATAAGAAAAGAGAGGGCAGTGTGGTGAGTTTGTCCAGTCTGATGGTGAAAGTAACAGAGATTACACATAGGATTTATCTCTAACAGGTTCATGAAAGTGATTCTGTCTGTCAAGGTTCTCAACGGCCTGAAGCAGAGAATTCTGAAGCTGGAGCAGCAGTGTAGAGAGAAAGAAAATGCCCTGAGGTAAAATGTCTTCCCACCTTTTCATCGGTCCATTTGGTCGATGAGTGAAGCAGCACAACGTTTATTTTACTCTCTCTTATTCCGCAGTAAACTGCAAAGTGACCTGAGGACCACCAACCTGGAGGAGCTGAAGATCACAGTAGAAACCTACTTTGAAGAGGTAACATCAATGCATCTGGACACATCTCTGTTTTTTTTAATCATTTTTCCATCTGATATAAAAGTAAAAGATCTTTTGGCAGGTTACCGCAAATAGATTTTCAAAAGCAGAACACCTGAAACAACCACCAAAGAAATCAAACCCACATTGAAAATAGAATTTTTGTTCAGAGGGGCTCCATCACTGCTCTGTGTCTGTTTTTGTAAAGCTGATGTTTTCATCACATTTACTTTGGTTACGGTGAGCTGAGCTGAGCTGTGTAAATGGATCTCTCACCTAATGGGCTTAATGTGTTCCTTGTCTTTCAGATCCAGAGACTACGGGTGCATCTAGAGGCTGCAGAGAAAAGGTACACGTGACCAAAGACACCAGCAACAAGCCTAAGTATCGTTTATGTTTTTTCTGAGTGGACTTTTTGTGATCATGACAAGTCATAAAACTTCTACCACTTTCAGCCTAAAACAGGGACTCTTAAATCCTGACCTTTACATAAAATTCTCTGGAGGTGAGCCGGACGCAAATATCCAAGTCAGTTGCTCTGGTAATTTTCTGGAACTTAGGTTCAGTACTCATATACAAACATTAAGTCACTTCCCTCCCCCTTCATTAACATTTAGGAAGGTAGAGAGGAGAGTTCTTTACATAGAGTGCTGAGGAAAAACTGCTGATCAGGGACTTAGATCCTGGATGTAAAGGAGGCCACAGCCACAGATCTTAAGAAACAACTGGTTTCAGGATTTGTGAAAAAGGTTTAAAAACACTGTAATTTGCTGATTTATTAATTCTGTCTCAGGACATCTTTACCTTCCTCTGTTTCTTTCCATCTGCAGCAGTCGAGCAGAGAGTAAATGCTCCCAGAGGCAGCAGAAAGCTTTAAGCTCCACGGTTCATCGTCTGTCTGAAAACCTGAAGCAGCTTCAACAGGAGAACTCGGCTCTCAGAGAGGAGCTCAACACTGACAGTCCTGCTGGAGGAGTCAAAGGTCCGACATTAACCAGTGCTTTCATAACCCACCAGATAGAAGAATTTTACTTCATTTATTCCCTTCATCATTTTCTAGTTTTACCCTCATGGTACCTCCTTACTGTACTTAATTCCCCTCAGCTTGGCTGGTTTCTTTTCTTCCATGTTCTGTGTGACAATGTGAGATGCATTGATCTCAAGATGTAAAGCCAGGATAATGTTGCGTCTACAACTTTGTTACCTGAGAACAAATCTGAAAGCTGGAGTCAATTTAGGAAGTTTTGAAAAATGTATTTCACACACAGGAAGTTTTAATATTTTTGGGGAATTTCACATATTTTTTTACTCAGAAGAAAATAATCAAATGTCTTTTACACATTGATTGATGAGTCAATAGTTTAAAGCTTCAGTTTGTAGGATTTAGGGAAATCTAGTGGTGACGTTTCATATTGCAGCTAAACACCCCTCACCTCACCTTCCTCTTCCAAACATGAAGGAGAACCTGTGGTAGCTTCAGTTGTCATAAAAACTCAAAAGGTTTAGTTTGTCCAGTCTGGACCTACTTTAAAAAAACATGGCAGCCTCCGTAGAGAGGACCCGCTCTTGATGAAAATTACAGTTTGTACAATTTAGGTGAAACCCACTAGTGAAAACATCAACAGGATTATTTTATATTCTATTTCTGCCAATAGATCCCTTTAACCAAATCCTAAACACTTAACCTTTAAGCTTTCTATCGCATCAGAAAAGGAATGTTTACTCTTTTATAGAATATTTTAAATTGAAACAAATCTACTTCTTTTTTACTTATTAATTTAGCAAAAATAGCTCATTAATTACAGACAACAATCAAACAATGTATAATGTGTCCAATGTGTGTCTTTGTGTGATCATGTTGCCCAGGTTACAGAGAGTGGAGTAAGCAGAGGCTGTTGCGAAGGTTGTTGGAAGTGGAGAAGGTGATTTGAAACTGTTCATGTCAACACACAACCTCATCTGTTTCTGACTGACGCTTTAAAGATTCCAGCATCATCACATTCAGGCTCTGCTCTCCTCCTGTCAGAGGCCGCAGGACAGCAGAGGACACACCCAGCCAGCGAACAGCAGCAACCGATTGGATCAGGAGGTCCAAGCCACGCCCACTGATATTCTGGGGTCTACCATGGCAACAGAGGCAGTGGTCTCCGTGGGAACAATGACTGAAGAGGAGGAGGAGTTTTCAGATATGAGAGAAAGCCTCAGCCAATTGGAGAAGGAGAAGGTTGAGCTTCAAGAGAGTCTGAGAAGTAAAGAGTGAGTGAACAGCAGCACGATGCTCAACATGAACCTCCACTCAAAACACCGAAGAATCCACATCCACAGAATATACGAGTGACATAACGTGTTAAACATGTGGTTATGAGCATAAAGCTACTGCACTGAGGTTGTGAACTGTTTTCTGTTCCTGTGTTTTTCAGTGATGAAGTGAAACAGTTGAGGACAGAAAGAGAAGAACTGGAGAAAGAAACAGAGCGATGGAAATCTGAACAAACACATGAACGAGACAAAGACAGACAGCAGCATCAGTATGTTTTACTCTTTATATCTCTCCTCCTCAGAAAGGTTCCGTGCTTCTTATAATTTAAATTATATATATATCCTTAATCTTTTGTTGTTGTGTTGCTGTTTTTATCAAAACTTTTCTTAAACGATTGATGTAAAATTGATTTACATTGGGAACAGCAGCTTTAATGTAGAAATGTACTTGTTCCTATTGTAGAGATCACAGCAGATGCTTCATGCCTTCAGAGACTTTGTAGTCGCATCACAAATGTCCCAGAACACAGTTGGTGTTGTCACACAGGTCCAGTTGTGTTTTGTCATATGTTTATTGTGTGTCTCTCAGACAGGAGTCGGAGCAGTTGTGGGTGAGGATCCGAACTCTGGAGTCTGCCTTAGCTGAGCTTTCCTCTCCCTCTGCCACAACCGCAGTGGACCAGGACGACAGTACATGCAGATCTGGTCCAGAGGAGGGAGATGAGACAGACACTGGAGGTAGAGATGAAGAAAAGAGAGGGGAAAAAAGACAACATAAAGAAAGAGAGACAGCAGCGAGGATCATCCAGACAAACTGGAGGGAGCACAGAAATAGGGTATGTATCACACAAGAGTTATGTAAAAGAAATGATGTGTGAGAGAAATATTATTTTTTAAAAAACATCCAGACACTCTGTCCCAGATTCTTCTTTCTGTCTCCATCCCTTCACATTCTGTCTTCAGGACACTGTGATGTTGCAGTCAGCATTAAGAGGTCATCTCTTCAGAGAGTCACAGCTCAAGAACCCAGTGAAAGACACACAAGACAAGGTTACACACACACACAGACACACAGCTGTCCCCCCACATGTTTTTCCTTCTCTGTCTCACCCACTGAACCTCTCTTCTCTCTTGTGTTTCTCTCTCTTCCTTTACCTCTTACTCATCTCGTCTTTTTCAGACTGTTGAAGCAACAAACCGCAGTCACGTAGCTTCCCCTGTAGGTGGAGAAATGGATGTGGTTGCCTTGACGATGATACAGTCTGCGTTCAGGGGACACCTGGCTCGCTGTAGTCTTGCAGTAGAGAGGTGACTCATTTACATCCAAAAAATGAAAAAAGTAAATGAATCCAAACATGCAGAACACAATGCAATGTTGTGTGTTTATCTTTTAGCTCTGGGTTCTCTGTGCCGTCTCCAGTGGGAAACCGGCTGCCCACGCTGGTCCCAAGAAGACCTCGATCAATACCCAGCAGAACGGGTAGGGTTCAGACATAAAGTACTTTTTATGCCTCTCAGTTGGCAGCAGCTGTAGCCCGAGGCATTGTGTTTTCAGGTTGTCTATTCCCCTCTTGTGAGCACGACATCTAAAGAATACTCTGAGAGAACTTCCTCAGAGGTTCACTTGTGGGAACACCGTGACGAATTCCCAACAACCCACAACAATTTGGCTGAAACTTTGAACTCAAGAATGAGCCGATTAGATTTTGGCAATCAAATGTCCCAAGTCAAGATCAGTGTGACCTCACATTTTGTGCATTATCAGGAAAGACTGGAGGGAATATGTACTTGGCACAAACTGTCCCTTAAACTTTACGATGACCTGATTATACTGTGTTGGTCAAAGGTAAAAAAAAAACCCCTCACAAAACATGTTTTGAGACTTAACTCAAAAGATGAATATGCTAGTTCTGACTAAATTTAACACAAAAGTCTTACAGGTTAAAGGTCAAGTTTACTGTCACATATTGTTTTGCAAAAACACTTTTCTGGTCATTAATCAACAACAACTCTGCGATTTGACTGATTAGCGGATGTATACAAACACACATCACAAAGCTTTGCCCACAAAGAGTTTCTGCTCCTCACTTAGAATTGTGAGACACCACAGCATCGCCCTCCTCTCGACCTCAGCATCATTTATTACGTCTTCCCTGCCGTGTTTATGAGTGGTTACGGGATCTCGCTGGCACGCTGATCTAATTCCAGGGTGTCTGTCTCCTGTGCGCCAGCCGGAGCTCTGACAGCTTCCTGTCAAAGAGTGATGGGGGCACTCAGCAGCTCTGTCGCTTCCTCACATGACCCCTAAGAATCTAATGCCTCTGCTGCTCAGAGGCAGGCTGGTTTAATTTACCATTCTAGGCTTCAATGCACCCCCCGCCCCTCCCTTGCCAGATGAGTGCAAAGAGCAATGTCAGCAGTTCTTCTGCATGTTTACATACTGACCCTCCTCTGGATGTGCTCTGGGCTTCAATGTGAGATTTTGGACTCCAGCTTCCTCGCTTGTGTCCCAATTTTCTTAAACCTGTTTCTTTAAGATATGAACTCTGGAAAACGTTCAGAAAATTAAGTCCAGATATTTCCTGGACTTTGTCTTTCACATCTGAAGGAACACATCAGGAGATTATCCAGTTCACACACATTCACAACAGGAGAACATTCATTCACCTGTCTCGAGCAGCAGGAGGCAGGACATGATGTATAGACTCTGCTGTGGAAAGCTCAGTGTTTTTTCAGTTTCAATTCACAGCACATCAACACCGGTGTCGGCCCTTATTGCCAAAAGCTCTCAAATATCGTTTAGTCATCCTGAGACATTTGTATTCGTCCAGTTTCTTGTCCTTTGTGTGTTTAAAAACATTATCAACATGCCCACTCGCTCGCTGTGTATTCTCACATGGGCTTACGTTCCTGAAAATGTCTGGAGCAACTGACTCAGACATTTGCAGTCTCACTGACAATGTCTGGACTTCAGTGCATATCTGAAAGAAGCTTTATGGCAAAGCTGTAATGGCTGGCTTCTGTATGTGTTGTTTTGTTGTCAAGGTGCTGCCTCCCTCCGTGACGATGAAACAAAGCCGGGCGAGGAAGAAGACTCGTGGCCTGTCTCTAGCATTCACGCCTCCAGGATGACACCCACAACAGGTCAGAGGGAGTTCATGTTTTACTGTGTCGTGTCTGTTAAAAGCACATCAAATCTTCAGGTCATCTCCTGTTTTGTATGCGCTGATGTGTCTGCATGAATAAGCTTATTTGATTTTCTGACTCTGTAATTAAATGTTTGCTGGAGGAAAATTAGATAAATATTCATGTTGAAATATGCACATTTTAAATAACAAAATACTCCTGGATTCTGTTTTTGAGGCTAATTAGGTTGAGTGTATTTTTTTAATGTCAAATGAGGCCCCGGGTGATAAATCACAAGTGTACCTGTGTATCTGTCACAGAGCTCCATTGCACAGCAGAGTCTGGAGGAGCCGCTGCAGTTGATTCGGACGATTCTGATGACATCATAGTGTCGCCCTCACGTCCTCTGAGAAGCAGAGAAGTCTTAATCTTATAGAGTCTGTGTGTATGTGTGTGTGTGTGTGTGTGTGTGTGTGTGTGTGTGTGTGTGTGTGTGAGAGAGAGAGCGAGTGTGTGTGTTGGCACTACTCAGAGCCTAAATGTTCTTACAGAACCTGCAAATGATCGCTGGAATATTCTAATATTATTCAGGATAATATTGAACATAAACAATATTTGATAAATAAACGTTTCTATATATTTTTCTTTGTCTGTAAGATTTTCTCTCACAGTAATAATCAGAATATTCTGAGAAGTCGGATCTTTTATGATTTAGAAACAATCGGACGTCATCACCTCACTTTGATTATGCTCTTATTTACTGTTAATATATATTGATACGTGCAGAGTGTCGACTGAACGAGCGTCCAGTTGACTGTTTCAGCACTTGTTCCACAAAGGTTCTGGGTTTTATTGTCAAAGTGGAACAAAAGGATTTCACATTAACCAATGTACTGATTTAAATGGAGGGATCGGACCTGGTTGGGCGGAGGTATGCACTGTTGAACGCCGTTCCAGTTTCGGATCTGTCAATGTTGTGATTTATCATTTGAGCCAAATATTCTTAGCGGTTGTTTGTCTTTGCCAAAGTGCCTACTGCATGAACATTTCAATTAAAATCTCAGTGCTACCTGGATTTATGTCCGTGATCCTGACCGACCGGTCCAGGTGAGCCACATCGCCTGTAATTCACACTTTCAATAACTAATGAATCATCAGTTGACGTGTCAGACATGTACCAAACCAACTAATCTGTCATGTATGCTAATAATCTGTGGCTGATCCTGAGGGATGATGGAGGGATGATTGCCAACTGATGCACTATTGAGCGAAACTGTGAATAAATTATAGATCAGCCTGCTGCAATACTAAACACACACAGTCAGAACAGGGGAGGATACACAGGGAGTTTGTATAATGCTCTGATCACCTGTAGGCTGGTCAGCAAAGAGAGAGCAGAGCTGCAGTTTCTACACGATGTATGTAACCCCATTTTCTGACACGTTCAATAAAATGCTTTTTTTAAATAATAGAAACCCCTGTGGTCTTGTGTGGCTCTTCTTTGAAATGTAAGTATCTTTGCTCAAGTATTGTACAGTTTAAAGTAATTTTAGATCTTTAGATGTGTAAAGTATGAAACGTTTTTCAGTTGTCTATGAGTTGATTCACTGTGAGATTCCCCCTTCAATCTTCCCAGATGGTTTAATTTCAATAGCCGATTAATAGACTTAATCAATCTTGAAACAAATGCAGTTTAAGAATGTTTAATCATTCTACGTTTGTGATACTGTGAACTGTGAGGAACCAAAACCATCTTTGGGTTTTGGATTGTTGGTTGGAAAAGCCAATCACAGTCACACTGTGCAATTAAGTGATATAGCAGAATTTTGTTTCCCCTTCTGTCCTACATTATTTGTCATGTGTTGTGTGTAATGGACAGAACACAAGAAGAAAATATAGAAAAAACAAACCACTACAAACAAAATCCACATCTTAATAAACACAGTTAATGTGGGGGAAACATTTTACTGAGATGAGACAAAACTAGGTCAATGGAAATGTTGTGATGATAGTGGTTGTGCTTTCTTAAAGTTATGTTGACTTGTTATGTTAAATTAAATGTTGTGTTTATGGATTTGAAGTTTTTGACTGTTCTTAAATGTTTTTGGTTTTGACATTGTGTTTTCTAAAAATTTCGGTTTGGGATTTTTTGGACGCGTGTTGAACCTCACTGCTGCAACATGCGCTTCCACGATGTCAACATCAGGGGGCGTCCTTTACGCGTTTGGTCTCTCTCTCTCCCTCTCTCTGTCTCCCTCCCTCTCGCTCTCTCTCTCTCTCACACACACACACACACACACACACACAGATCTGCAGCAGAGCCTCGTCCTCGGGGCTTTTTAAACCGTGTTTCTCTTCACGCTCCAACAACAACAACATCCTCCAACCGAAGCACCGCAGCTCTGCACGCGTCGAACCGACGATCACCGCGGGAACAACGAGCACAACATCCCGCCACAGAGACAGACAACGACGAGGAGGGTTTTCAACGTGTTTAAAAGAGAGAGAGAGAGAGTCCAGATAGAAGCTGCGGGTCAATTAACCCTTCACCCCCCCGGAGCGGTGCTGCTGCCGGGAGAAGCCACGGTGACGGTGCCCCGGGTGAGATGAGAGCGGAGCGGGAGTGTGACCGTCATTCCGTCGTGGCCGCGGCGGACTCGGGGCTTGCAGCGAACTCGGCGCGGCCGCGTTGATGCAGCATCTGCGGGGTTCAAATCCGCCACCGCTCGGATCTGGGAGGACAAAAGGTGAAACCGGGGCCCGGACCGAGGAACGAAACCAGCGTCTGCGACCGCCAGGTAGGGTCCGTGACGTGTCTGTTGTTGTCCGTGTCCCGTGTCCTGCACGGACACGGAGCTCCGTCCCGTTGCCCTGGCGACTCGGTGAGACTGCGGCACTTCTAGCGGACAAAGCGGGACGAAGCTACGGCTAACTCCGGGTTTAAGCTAACTCTCATTTTGACTCGATGTACGAGGCGCAGCGGGTGAGCCACGCGAGGACTCGACCCGCGCGCGTCGCTGCAGTAAATTCACGTTAACACACGACAACAGCGGCGACGTGTCTGCTTTTAAAAAATATCTGCCATTTAACCAACCCGCATCGCGTCCATCTCCCCCAGCCCGTGTCTCTCTTTTTTGCAGCATGGGCGTTTTGTCACTGGGTGAATCGAGGTAGCTGCTGTCAGCCATGATATCATCATGTCATAAATCATGTACAGTACGTGTCCACATAGCGTGACCTCCATTGACTGTGTGTGCAAAGACCCCAGAGGTTTGATTCTCGTCTTTTAATAAACAGCTTCTGTTTTATTTCATTTAAAGGTCTCAGGAAGATCAAGAGGGGGGAGGGGGGGGAGGTATGACACTCACATGCAGCCCCACAATGAAAATACATGCACATTACATGCAACAACCCACAATGCACCAGGGGATGTGATAATAATAATAATAATAATCACATTCACTTGAATTTATCATTAAAAAACCCTGCAGGTTGAAAATGATTTCAGAAGCAACTGAAATGATGTAATTTGTCATATTGCAGTGTTATAGCCCCTTTAAACACACACACACACACACACACACAGGTATGATAGGTAAGGACGTGCACACATCGGAGAAGGGATGCCCTCGTGTCGCTGCACGCCTAAAATAAAATCGTCATTTAAAATTTACAGGACAGAAGATATTTATAAAACAGTAATATTTAATAACTAATGAAGAGAGGGGTGAGCAATGTTTTTGGTTTTTCATGCTTCGTCCATCCCTGTCAGAGACTAATCACTCGTGATAATGATTATTGTTGTTGTTGTGGATGGAAGCAGGGTTTGAGGTTTTGGTGATGAACATTGTGTGTGGCTGCAGTAGCTTCATCCTGCTGAACGTGTTCAGTAAAACAGACGTTTTTCATCTCTGCCGCAGTCGTGTGAATCGCTCATGAAGTGATTTCCTTGCCCTGTTGACTCACAATGTCGGTGAATCTCTTTTACAGTGGCTGCGTGAGGAATCGGGTAATAGAGTGAAGTGACAACCTGCAGGTAGCTGCGTGACTGCGTCAGGATGGCGGCCGTAGTGAACTACTCTCCACCGTGGTGGGTGAATCTGCTTCACCGGTTGCCTCATTTCAACATCGAATTCCAGATGGTGAGCAGTGACTTCAGGCCCGAGGACTCTGAGTATCAAAAGGTAAGAGGTGTACAGGGGGGGCGTGATAATTACCTTCATCATCCCCTTCATCGTGTAGCATCACTTAATCATCCAGCCTCCTGCCTCTTACCCACACGGTAAATTCACAGCAGAGGGGCCAAGGGTGGCTGAGGCTGTCGACTGAGGCTGAGAGTTGTGGGATCCCTCCCTGCATCGATCAATGATGTGTGTGTGTGTCTGTGTGTGTGAGAGAGAAACAGAGACAAAGCAGGAGAAATGTCCTTGGTTGAGCCACTGACCCTCTACCTGCTCCATCATTGATATTTATCGATTAGCCAGGTGATTCCCAATCTGAGGAACAGGACTGTTAATAGCTGCAATGTTTATCTCAAAGGTTTGATATCAAGATAGTCAAAGAAAGGACAGGAAAGTTCCTCTCCACAAAATAAGGCTTACTTACTGTTTCTCAAATCTTTACTTTTTCAATTTTAAATCTTTACATCTTGTCACACTTGGGTGAAAAACGTGTAGCTCAAGAAATATGCAAGCTGTGATCAGCCAACAATTCTGATGATTGCCCACTGAGATAATCTATAAATATGTATAACATTGTCCAGTTCCCGTTTCTTACTCGGGAACATTTTCTGATTTAATATTACTGTTAATGGAAAATCTATAGAAAATCTACTGCTGTTTGGGGAAATCATGTAATCTGAGGACATCATCTTGGGCTTTGGACACTTTTATTTTAACATTTTATTGGATAGGCAATTATTTTACTTAACTGAAAAATAATCGAAAAGGAAAAACAATCATTGGCAGAAGCTGAAAAGCATAACACTAATTTCTAGTTTCTCTCTTTGATAAAACACTGTCTGAGTCGGCAGCGCTGCCTTCGAGAGCAGCTCCATCCTGGGGGGGCTTTGGCCCAGTTTTTGCTGCATTTCATTTGAATCCTCAAACAAGGTGACTTCCAGGTCTCTGCAGCAGAAAACATACAGTCTCGGCAGCCAGTGTAAAGCCGAGGCACATTGTTTAGGGTTGCACATTTCATGCGCCGCAGACAACCCACAGTGTAGTTTGCTGACATGTATGGGGGGGGTATAGAGGGAAGGGCGTGCAAGTTCAAGAGCTGAGCGTGGGAAGGCACCCACAGCCATGGACAAGGAAGGGAGATGAGAAGTGGAGAGAGGGAGTGAGACAGGGAGAGAAGAGGAGGAGGAGGAGTGACAAAGATAAAAAGAGGCTGATTGGAGGCGAGAGGAGAGAGAAAAGGCTCGATGAGCCACGGGAGGTGCTTCTAAATTGCCAAATAACCACTTCCTGCAGGCTATTCAATGTTTAACTAAGGGTCTTTGTGAGTGTGTGTGTGTGTGTTTGTGTGTGAGTGTGTGACCACTGGAATTTTAAGGACCCCCTTTTTAGACTAATTACATCCTGGCATATTTTAGCAGACGGAGCTGTTTCTATGTCACTGATCATTCTGCACTGTGATTATATGTTGGTTTGCTTGTTATTCATATGTACTGTGTGTATGCATTTGCCATATGTATACACTGTGTCCCACACTGTATCTTCTTTTTCTGTGTCAGTGCGTATTTAGCACTTAGTGTCGTACGTCGAGGTGAGGTCACAGATCTCCCTTAGGGGCTCTGTGTGTGTGAGTGAGTGAATATAGGGCTTCTATTCAGGGTGAAATCATTAATTCTGGCTAGACGGGAGGAGGGAGAGGTAGAGGGTGAGAAGAAGAAGAAGAAGAAGACGAAGAAGAAGGAGGTTGAATTGAGTTAGCTGGGGGAGGGAGGGAGGGAGTGAGAGAGGAGGGAAGGGGGAAAGAGTGGGAAGGGGAGGGCTGTAGTCTGTTGTGAAAGAAAGCTCTCTTTCTTTCTTTCACTCTTTCACTGAAGCCCGTCTTTAGATTGGCTCAGTATATCTGTCTCAGAGGCTTTTATGCATCCACTCATCCAGCTGAGAAACACACACACACACACACACACACACACACACAAACAAGGTCCCTCACAGTGTCCTTCAGTGTGCCGAGTCCGTCACCATGCTCCAACATTAACACACACACACACACACACACACACACACACACACACACACTCACACAATAGAGAGAGATTCTTCTGTGTGTCTAGTGGTTTGCTTTCTGATGTGATTTGGCTCAGGTTCATTTGTATTCAGCTCCGAAGCTGCTCAAAACTTTCTTCTCACACAAGCTGCTCACAGACCCGCCAGGACCAGGACATTTTCCTGAAATTATCCGGAGGGGCTGTATGCGAGATTGCAAATGTCTGCGTCTGTTGCTCTGGATATTTTATAGATCTTTTCCTGCCAGCCCCCTTCTAAAACGTCTGAGTGAGTCCATGTGAGAACACAGCAGGGAAATGAAAACACACACCGTAGACACACACCGATGAAGATGTCAACTTGGAAAGACGACGAGATTCGAGAGCCCTTGTCAATAACGGCCTGAGCTGGTGTTCATGTGCTGTGTTAACAGAAACGTGATTTCCACAGCAGAATTTAAACGTTATATATTTACCCAGGCTCCGCCCCTCGCCTGAATGTTCCAGATAATCTCCTGCTGTGTTCTTCCTATGTGAAAAACAAACTCTGGAAAATGTCCACAACCAATTTGCAGAACATTGTCAAGAGTTCGCGTCTGAAAACAGCTACAATTAAATTTTGCATTTTACTTTTCGCCACTGCTGTTTCTCATTTGTGGAGAAGCTGTGTCTGCAATTAACAACCAAATACTCCCTGTTTACACCGGCACACCCATTCCCATTGTAGGTGAGGGGTCACGTGATATGCATTTTAAGGCGTGTTAGTATGCATGGGGATTAAAGCTGATGCAAAACCAAAACCATTCTTGTGGACAGAGATCACTTACGTTTTAAAACACTGTTTTTCAAATTAAATTAAAGGATGTAGACTCACTCACTCACTCACTCACTCACTCACTCACTCACTCACTGTTCCTACAGTGGAGCAGTTGGTCTCTGATGACTTTATTGGGGATGCTGCTGACTCTGTGGCTTTTCCCAAGAAAACGGTTTTATTTCTTCTTTGCCTGAAGAGCTGAAATAGGAGCTCATATCCTGAGGTTCCGTGAAGCATTGAAATAGCATGTGTGCCGATCTGTGTGTGAGTGCGTTCATCTGTTTGTATTATAGTAGAATCGCAGAGTCAGCTACCACAGTTAAACAGCTGCAGAACATTACAGAGGAATCATGTGACCTGTAATAACACACACACACACACATAGTCCCAGCTGTGGAAAGTAAGTAAGTATAATTGGTATTTTTTTGAATAGTGAACTTCATTTTGCACAGTGGAAGATATTGTCTCATCGCATATTGAAAAAGATCAGTGAGACTCAATGACAAACAGATTCAAGTGCCACTCAAATCCCTTTTTTATGGTTAAATTCTCAAAAGCATACCATCAGGTCCGTGTCTGAACACAGATTTTTCTGTCTGTGTTTTGGCTGCACTCTGGTTGCACCGCTGGTACAGGTGAGGTGAATATAAGCAGAATGAACTCGGGGTCAGTCAGCGCCTCTGGAGGGATGTTGAGAGGCCAAACTACAGTGTAACACACAGTGCAAGGACAACTCAGTGAAGTGGAAGTGATTGATCCTGTCAGCTCAGTCATACACACACGGCCACAGGCGTGCACGTACACACACTAATACGGACAAATGGAAAGTAGATCACTGTGCCTGGGTGTTTAATGTTTAGCCCCTCCTCCAGCCTGCAAGCTGATCTCTAGTAGCCAAAATGTGTGCGCGCGCAACACACACACACACACACAGACTTACATCTAAGTACACACACACACACACACACACACAGCCAAGCTCACCGTGCTTATTAGTAGCTAATTGATCCACACTTAATCTGCTCTGATGGTTGGTCGGCCTGACAGTTAATCTCGCGGCCGTCGTCAGGGTCACAGCAGTGGTTTTAACACTGTAGGGGATCTAAGGGTGGAACATGAGCAGCGCAGCCCCCTGTGTTTGGCCCCATTTCAGTCTCCAACACATGCTGAAACAAAATGATCTTCACCACTGTATTCAGAGGATACTGAGTCATATATTTTCATTGTAGCTCCGTGCCCCTCACTCAGACAAACTGTATTTACCAGCACTTACATACCAAAGTAATAAGCCGTCACTTTAGACCCTTAAGTTTTATTCTGTTTTTCTTTTAAACTTTTGATGAATTTCACAAAAATGTAAAGAATAAGAATTTCTCAAGGCTTAAATTCTCTTTTTTATTTCAGTCATGATAAGTGGCCAGAGGATATGTCGAGTATATTGTTGTTGTATAATGTAAATATTTTACATTTAATTTTCAATCACAATACAATCATGGGATGAGAAGTTGTAGGAACAATGAATTGTTATTATTTTCATTGTATTACATTATGGTATATTTACAAATAGTTCGTTAGCTGTCTCACACCAGTTGTCCCGTTATGCAGCTAGCAGTGAGTGACCTTGGCTGTGATTGGCTGGATGGCCTTTCAATCAATCGAACTCTTTTCTTTTTAATCAATGACTTCTTCATTAAAATGTTCTGCTTTTCACTGCTTTCCTTTTGATTTATATGATTCCAAACTTAGTACTTCTTGGTTTAGGACTAGAAATCAGATAAAGAAAAAACAAGCAATTTGAAGGCGTCACCTTGGGATTTTTGACATTTTGTTAAACCAAACAATAATAGAAAAAAGGTTTTTGATTAGTTGATTAAAACATTTTCAAATAACAATTATTTTCATAGTTGCTGATTATTATCTTTTCCATAAAATGTTTGAAAATATCTGATCTTATTATGTCCCTAGGTTACGTATTCAGATTGCTTACTTTTGTCAAGTGAATTTCATAAAAAGAAATGAGCGAATCCACACATGTGAGTGGCTTAATCAGTTATCAAATAATTGCCGATTTATGTTTTGGTGATTGATTATTTTATCAGCTCTATAGTAAATAACACCACACTTTGTTTTACTCCTCTACTTCCTCTGTATCTCACTATCTGTGTGATCCCATTGTCATTCTTGTTGCGTGCTTTTCATTATATCCTGTCGCATGAGCTTTTCATTCTCATTCCCCAAAGCCTAATGCATTTTGTGCTATGTGGTCTGAAGTCACGAGAGATCAAACAATGCATTAGAGGAGCAGAGTGCAACGCAACCTTAGCATAACGCCCCTGTCACTAGCTAAGCTTTATAGATAATAATAGAGGAGGATAATACCAGAGAGGAGGAATCTACAGGGCTTATCTCCCCCTCCTCTGTCATCACGATCCTCTCCTCCCATCCTCTACTCCTCCGCTCCTCTTCTTTAACCTGTCGGAGAAAAAGCAGTCAGGGAAAAAGCAATCAAGTGATTTCCTCTGGCTCAGCCCGAGCTTACCAACTGCTCTCCCACAAGAAAGTAATCATGTGTAAATAACAGAATCACAGACTTGACACATAAATTCACAGAATTACTGACAAATCTTAAGCTGTAGTGGTGCAGGGCCATAATTAAGTTTGTAGTAATCAAACTAACATTGTATTTATTTCGAGTGGAATATAATGCTATAATAAGAATTCATATCTCTCGGCTGTAGACTCTTAGAAACCTTGCTAGATATAGTATTGATGGTTTTAATGTGGTCTGAGGCTTGTGGTTCTTCTCAACTGTCAGATGTCATATTACACCACTGCAGTTTACTCCTGTATTGTATCATGTCTGCCGTAGTGGTCTAGTTTACTAACCCACTGGATTTACTGGATTGGATGAAGCCCTCCAGCTTTGATACGTTAGCCTTCGCTGGCCTGGTTATACATGTGACACACTTAATGCTGACCTTATTAGGTGGCATTGTTACCTCTGCCATGCAGATTATGTTTTCACCCGGCTCTGTTGTCTTATCAGCAGGAGTGTGCAAAAAAAAAGCACTGAACCCGTTTGTATGAAAATCAGGCTTGGGCCAGGGGAAGAAACCCACAGATCTGGTTTGGATTCAGGACCAAATTGCTTTTTAATCACTTGCCTCAGCAACAACAGACATTTTCCACATGTAAAAATCATCATATTTATGGTGTTGAGATGTTTGAGTTTAGTACAGATCTACATAATAATCAAGATCTAGTGGAAGAAAAAGGTTTGACCTCGGCAGATGTATGTAAACAATCGAGCGTCTTAATGGAGATCTGAGTGTTTTTAGTGGTCACCATGGACTCAAATGTCTTTTCTGTAGATATATTTTGTACAAACATTCATGTCTATCCCATGATGAAATGTATTAACCTGTTCCCTTAATGCTTTATCTTGCTCTATGTGAACATTTCAATCTACTCAGTATTTTGGTTTAAGACCAAACACCTGCAAAACTAGTGGCATAATCAGCCTCAGCTCTACTTTGTAAATGTTATCATGTTAACAGCCTTAATAAAAATGGTCAATCCGTTATCTATACGGGGGGGGGGGGGGGGGGGCTGGCACCAGTCCCAGCTGACATAGGGCGAGAGGCCAGCGTATCACAGGGCTGATATACAGGGACACTCACATCCACACCTGTTGTCAATTTCAAGTCTCCAATCAATCTCACTCCAATCTGCACGTCTGTGGACTGTGGGAGGAAACAGCAGTACCTGGAGAAAACCCACGCAGACACGGGGAGAACATGCAGATACACTAATATCTTTTCATGTATAATTGCATGTAGCATGACTGAAGACACTAACCTGGGGTGTCTGTAGAACTTTGCAGGTGAGGACAGGTTCAGTTCAGTTTTTATGCCTCTGTGCTGGTGACTGCCGTGACTGGAGTCATGCTTTTGGGCTGTCTGTACAAGACTCCGTCTATAGCAACAGTTAAAGCTTTGGCACACGTATTAAACATTATACGAGTATATATATACTCATACAATACATGCATATTTACAGTAGAGGTGAATAAATGGCTGTAGGGTGAAGAAATTGCTGGCTGGCAGTGAGGAAAAAATGAGGTCAGTAGAAAAGTCAGCAGTTTAGAAGTCTAGGAATCCAGGAAGTCTGTGAGGATCTTGTTGGATCTGACTCAGACCATGTTATCATCCACAGAAGACTTCCCGTGAATTACAATGTTGTTGTTTCTGAACAAGCAGAACTGCTGCAGGATTCTTTTGTCTGAAGTGGTCTAGCAGCCAGAGATTTCGTTTGAGCAGAAACATGCTCTTTGTCTCCGCATGGTCCTGCAGCAGAATTGCTTTTCCAGGCAACTCCAGAGGGGAAAGAAAAACCAACATTACAGTATGTGTGGTAAAAAAAGATCTCATCATTTCCAGGCAAATCTCTGTAACATCCCTCATCTCTGTCTTTATCCATTTCCTCCCTTTTATTGTTCAGTTCAGTCATCTTCTTTCTTTTCTGTCTCTCTAGCCTGTCTCTGTTTTTGTTCCAAATTTACACCCCCCTCACTTCTCCATCTATCTGGTCCCAACACCCCTTCCTTCTTTTGCACTTCAAAGCCCTCAGAGGGTATGTGATCTGTGTGGTGGGTCTCTCACTCACACGGCTCCCCATCAACAACGCTTCCGCTCACTCTGTGGAGGTGTGCGCGCGTTTGATGGTATGCAAATGTGTTTTTCATGGTATCCATCAAACGCCCATTGGCGTGCCACTGTTTTTTATCCTCAAATAGCTGGAGTGAGCCGCGCAGTTTGTTTATCAGGGTGCGTCTGTCTTCACAGGAAAAACTAAATCATGTGGTGTCTGGATGTATCTGGTTTCTGCTCATATCAGCTAATTTGCTTCCTGTATCTTTAGCCCACTTCCGAAATGTCTCCCTTCTCTGTGTTACGAACAGCCATCAAACATGATACATTACTGATGTTGTGTGCTGAGTGAATCCCAAAATATTTGACAGAAAATGTTGAGTGTAATATATTGTATTATTCTGAAATCATGAATTTCTTATGGCCACTAACTGTTCCTCTCATCCTTCCTCTTCTCTTTAGTCTGTGTTGCTGCTTGGTGCTGTGGCGTTGCTATGTTTGGGCCTGGACCTCCTCTTTCTCCTTTTCTACTCTTTCTGGCTTTGCTGCCGGAGACGCAAGAGTGATGAATCCTCACACTCCCATACGCACTCGCAGCAGCCGAGCGCCGACTGCTGCTGCACGGCCTGGTGCGTCATCATCGCCACACTTGTCTGCAGGTGAGAGGTTATTCCCACATGAACAACACCTTTACAGTTAAAATGTGTGTATATTTGAAGGCAATGCCATTTTTTTCTTCAGGAAAAAGGTCATGTGATTAGAGTGTGATGATTCTGGGAAGGATCAACTTGACTGATAGGACCAGGACACCCATGTTCACTTCCTGAATGTCCTGATCTTATCAGTGCCTCTCTTTAGTCTGCATCATCATCTCCAAAAGTCGCAGCACATCCAAACACAGCCTACATCCACACTGATATGTTTTAGCTTTTATATACTTCATGTTTGCTAAGTTTATACATATTTCCACAGTACTCCAGAGTTTATGAGCCACTAAATTTGAGACTTTTGGAAAGGATGACGCAGAATCCCACAGCCACATTTTGGTGTCATCGGTCTCAACTGGACTACCAGTGGAAAATGCAAAGTATGGCTAACACTTACTGTCAGTCACAGTTCCACCTTGTTGTTTTCTCCATTGCTGGTTCTTGTGAGTGGTAATTGCTGCTACTTAGCAACTAACTGCAAAAAGTCAATCTACTTCCTGTTAATGATGTGTGTGAATGTTTATGTGATATGTGCTTTGAGATGGGTCAGTATGGACATATTACTTCTGATACAGAACTTCAACGCTCATGTAGACAAGTATTTTGTTTTAAAATGTCACTTTATGTAACTTGAGATCAGATGACAAGTGGTCACCCCAGAAGCATCCTACCGCCATGAGTGAAACGACTTAGTGCGGTCGACTTGTGATCAGATCGCACAAGACGTGTGTTAGTGCCAGGTGCTAATGCTTTGTATACCACAGCCTGTTGGTGTACAGCTATGTCACTAGAATGCACAGTACAGACGCTAAGTCTGAGTCACAGTTAACCCAGACTAACACAATGTGCACTCCTGCTGCTGTAAAGGTCCTTGAATGAAAAGTTATGTTTCATTTCACTTGTTTTATGGACATTTTTATTCAAATGTGCACATTTAAAAAAAAAAAACTGGAAATGCCAGAAATGCAAAATAAATGTCAGTCCTTTTTACAGTTTGGTCAGGTTGAAAGGATGTCACGTCAAAAAAGAGAAAGGCTGACGGAAGCAGCTTTGATGTCATGGTACAGTGCTTGCGTCTGCTTCGTCTACAGCATATAAAGCATTAATTTCACTGTCCCATGTTTCCACTCCAACAGCAAGCCAAAGAAATTGAAAATAAAACAGAGTGCACACGTAGATTCACATTTTTATTTTGCAGAATAAACTGTGAGAATAAAGAGAGGCAGGCTCTTCCTACAAAGTTGACATTTTGGAGATTTTTCACTGGCATGTCCAGGATGAACCCCACCTCTCGCCAAATGTCAGCTGTGATTGGTTCTGGCCCTCCCCGCAACCCTCAGAGGATACGCGGTATAGATAATGGGAAAAAAAAAGTTTCTCACTCTCAGCAGCCATGTGTGCGTTATCGCTGTAGATTGCACCAATCACGTCCACTCAGTGTTGTTACAGCCTGAAACCCCACGTGGTGTAGCAGGGACCCAGCCAGGTGGTTAAACAGTTAGTGTTTATCGGACTCTGAGGGTTGTGTGTGTGTGCAGTTTGAGGTCTGTGACCCAGCCGAGTGCAGTGTATTTTCACCACAGGTAGTGAGCCGTGTGGACTCTGCTCCTCTTGACTCAAAACTGCACACGCAAACAAACTAAATATTCCACTTTCATTTACTCTCATCTCTTTTCGACTTCCTCTCTTCCTCTGTCTTTTCTCTCTCTCACATCTCCTTATATTCACCTCCGTTTTTCACCATATTATTTCTCTCTGTCTCTGGCCTTCTTCCTGGCCTAGAAAGGTTGCCATGGAGACAGAAGCAGATTTGATGTAGAGACGAGAAATGAATTATACAGTCAGGGGGAGCTGTGTGTGTGTGTGTGTGTGTG